TCCGCTCCGCTCAAATCCCTTCTTCTCGTCCCGTTAAGCACCGCGGCCTCTCCGTTCCTACAGAACCTGTATCATCACCATCATACCATCATCCAAGAGATGAGTAGTCGCGGCGGTAAATTAGCCCCAGAAGTCAATCGGTAAGTCGCTGCTCCTGCCTGTTGCGCATGGCACAGGCCAAAAATCATCATTCGAATTCTTGCGCCTCATTCATCACATCGCATTTTCGACCTCGATCGGCCTCCGCGATACGCACCTACATACATTGTCTGACATTCGCTAACTGATTTCTAGAGCTCTGTTCGTAAAGAACTTGAGGTATGATAGATACCGCGATGATAAACTCGTACCCGAATAACGACTAACCGATATCGACTCATAGTTACAACGTCACTCCGGAAGAGTTGTTCGACCTTTTCGGAAAATTTGGCCCAATTCGGTATGCACAGACCCTGTTACTCGACACCCGACACTTGTCATTGAAGACAACTTCCTCGTCTCGGAGTGACGATATGCGCTTTGCGATTTGATACTGACAGCCATTGCAGCCAGGTTCGACAGGGTATCGCCAACAACACCAAGGGTACTGCCTTCGTTGTCTATGAAGACGTAGCCGACGCCAAGCAAGCCTGCGACAAGCTCAACGGCTTCAATTTCCAAAACAGATACCTCGTTGGTGCGTCCGCCTCGCAATCCTTGCGTCTCAATGGTTCATTTTTCGATGACAGCGTTGAGCGTGTGTACAGGGACAACTGAATACTGACCGAAATCACAGTTCTATACCATCAGCCCGACAAGATGGCCAAGTCAAAAGAGGACCTCGAAGCCCGCCGGGAATCTTTAGCTCAGCTCAAGCAGCAGCATGGCATCGATTGACAATCCGACCGGTCTGCGGATAGCCTGCCTAGGAACTCAAAATCCTCGTCTGCAGGCCGGTCTTCGTCTTCTCCCAAATCTCCTTCGCCGGATCCGAAGACGATCCTCCGAAAAGGCAGGACCCCAACCAAAGCAACCGCCAAGAGCCGCGCATCCTCCCGAGTCGTCCGTTTCGATGACGGACTTCGACCTGCACTAACCTGTGCATGATGCATCCTTATCGCTTTTTGGAGGGGCTCTATAACAGGAGCCCAAATACGCATCACCTCTGAGGTGGTTTCACTATTGGTTCGGACTTCGCTTGACACGCAAACACCTCTCCTTTACGGTTCTGGGAATTAGGTGCACTGGGGAAATTTCAAGGTTGATTCAGCAAGTGGCGATACGACCAGTCACAAACTGCTCTTTTAAGCATGGCCTGGGATAGGAAAGGCCTTGATGATGTTGTTGCCTGTGGATAGCTTTTGTTGCATTTCGCGTCTCTTTGTTCCTTTTATTTTTATTCGATCTGGAAGCCTTGGCCATGAGAAGCCAACCCCCCCTCGTTCACAGTTATGATCTGCCTCATGGACTCGCGACCATACAGATGTGTGACGTAGAAATGGCCTCGACTCTCCACCTCACCCGTTGGGGGTTTCACGTCGCGCATTTTATGAAATTTGAGATCAGCATTGGGGAAAGAAACGGATAAACACCAGTAAACTAGATTGAAGTCAGTTTGTTTTGATAATGAGAGAACCAGTCCTTCCCAAAGCGTCTTGGCTTAGGGCATCCTTCAAGATTTGAAGGTTCCCTGCGTAAGGACTGGGTCCTGTGAAGAATCTTGCCAGGTCTGTGACATGCGAACTAGCTCGAGAGATGAAACATAACTCTGCCTGGACATAACCCGCTGAGCGTGATCCATGGTAGATGATCTAACTTGACAAGCCATAGTTCACAATTGTATTTATGCCTTGTCATAGCTAGCCCGCACCGAAAGGGACCAATACAAAAAAGCTTGAGCCTGTCCACAACGATACCAGGCTACTACTACCTACTGCACATGTTTTGTCCATTAAGAGAGTTGGGATCCTAGTTGTAATAAACACTACCAAGAGATTTGCATGGAATTAATGACAACATGCCTCCGTGTGACGGTGTCGAATGCCACGATTGGATGACCTTGTTGGTCCATGGACAGCTCTCGTGAGGTTAAGCTGTCTTCAGATTTAGAATTGTTGGTTCATAGTAGACCTAGAAATAGGTCGAGCAAGGGGATTTGCCAAAAATTCAGCTGATCGCCCTGGTATTGGCCAAGCTTGCAATGATTCCACTCTGACTTTCAGGTCATTTCGGGTCGCTATATCATTTGCAAATATGTTCTTGTGATAAGTGAGGCTATTCGGGAAGAATATGAGAAAACATCGATGCCATCATATTACAACACACCACACCACACCACACCGCAGAAACGATATACACAAACGAAAAAAAGGCCCCAGAACTACGTGTTGAATAGAAACATGCCATGCATGTCCCATTGGCCACTGAGCTGGCTAGCAATCTGATCAGCAAGCCTTGGACAAGCTGTCTGCCAGCTCTCGGGCTGTCAATCGAAAAATGCCTTGCCAGACAGAAGATTGGCTTTGCAAACTGTAGGCTTCTCCGGTCGCATCTGGCCTGGCCTGAACAGCGGATAAGTTGCAAGTCTACCGATTCACCAGCTGGGCCGCCGATGAGGCCGCGATGTCAGCCGTGGAGAGCTGTGAGTGGTTCTTTAGCCGCCAGGCAGTGGGCTTGTGGCTGAGTGTGGGAGGCTTTGAATAAAGTAAACCAACGTCGATTTCGACGTAGGTATTAGTTTGAGGTCGTATTGAATGTGATTGCCTTTAATCGATTTATCGAGTTGACAATGTCGAGTGTTTGAGTCATCTGTGATATACCTGTTGATTCGATGAACGGCAACCTCATGTGCACGTTTTAATCTACTTGAGTCAAGAATTCAAGTATGCTCAAGCCTCTATAAACCAATCATCAACCAACAAAGCTACCAACAACAGCTGCCTGAACTTCACTCATCTACCGAAGGAGTCATTCCTTCGATCATGAGTGGGTAGATATCTGCACCCATTGCCATGGAACGCACCACTGGGACTCCACAGCCACAGCTGGAACCTCTAGCTCCCTACCTACCTACATTACCTATTGCGAGCTTCAACAGTGGTCTACACTTATTGGGTCCAGTCACAAGGCTACAATTTCTGTTCTATATTGGTAATGATGCCTTGGGGCCCTCATGTGTCCTTGAGCCCGGCCATGAGGCTTATAACCAACCACCAATGGCCCCAACTCGGGTCTCTCGATATAAGTTCTTGCCAGGAGCAGCCTTGTTGTCGACATGCGATATAAAGCCAAAGAATAACCACTTTGTATTCTCATAAACGTTATCACGGCACTCTATCTTTTTCCAAGCAGATGTATCCTCCTTCATCTCGTTTAAGTCGACTATCTCTCGAGAGCATGTCTCCAGAAACCCGCTCTCGCGCCAGGGCTCAATCCCTAGACCGGAAAACCGAGCAATCTCACCACGATGAATCATCTTCTGACTCTGATACAAGTTCAGACAGCTCTAGCTATGCAGACCACAGTTCAGAATTCGACGACGACGACGATGATGATGAGCCCTCTGCTATCCGATCCCCAACCAAACTCACATATCTCATCGACCACCTCCCGGAAGAGACCCAGTCAATCGTCCGCGATACCTTCAAAGAGCCCCCAAAGATAGCCCTAGAAAAGTGCCGTCGAATAGACGATACATATGCGTTCCAAATGACAGAGCTTGTCACGCGCTCTGTGCGAATCCGCGCGCCACAAGACGGCACTTCCAACCTCAGCTGCTCATGCCGAGATGACGGGCAGCCTTGCCAGCACCTCCTTTGGCTATTAGATCAGATCGTCAAACAAACTCTGTATGAAACTGATCTCAGCAAGCCTCTCAGAATGAACCCAGCGGGCTATGCTGAGGAGATGGGTCAAGTTTTCCAAAATATATCTGATTTTCGTCTCGATGTACTGGCCGAGGGACTTCACTGCCATCTCGTCACCCCGGACTCGGAATACAACAACGAGCCTGACGCTTTCCGCGCCCAGGAAGCTCGAGAAATGCTTTCTTCTGTCTATAATATGGACCCAGGGAACTTCCGACCAGATATCTTTGAAAAGGTTTCTCATAGCAGGAAGATCATCAAACGAAACGACCTGGAACGAACCATATCTCGTATGCTTCTAGATAACCATCACTTCTTTCACTATTTTCGCTCTCTATCTCGCCCACAAGACCCTATAAAGGACGTATTCTACAAACTCACTCAGCGCATTAACCACGTTGTTCGAGATCTCGACGCCCCAGGCCAAACTTCAGACCCTGAGCCTCCCCGAGATGTTACGTGGGCAGCTTCACATATTCTAGGTTGCGTTCGTCGGATGCGCCACGATATTTATACCCGCGAAAGCCCTATTTCAGTAAGGGAAGCCTTATCAGCAGCTCGTAGCCTTGTGCACATTCTGGATTTGGTGGTATCCCGCAATACAGACCATGGCCCTGTAGATGCACCACGCATCGACCGAAACCTCTACCTGCGGCTAATTGGCGATCGAGATCAAGACTTCATTCTTAACGTCCTGAATCTGATCCCCGAAGCTGCGAGCCAGTTTCTACATAACCTCGAGGAACTTCTCGGCAGGATTGAGATTTATGGAGCGCCAGCTGGCTATGTACAGCGATTTAGGGCAATACTGAGAAGACTGAGAACATCGAGTACAGGATCTAGTTTGAAGAGATCCGTTCAGGGGCAAACGAGTCGCCGCAAGACACGGAGAACCAGATAAGGCACGGAGACTCAGGCGACTGGTGACATTGTGCATCGAAAATAAGCATCATTTAGTGATATGAATAGCTTTACAAGCTGAATACCAAATATCGAGACTCATAAAAAGGAAAAACTAACTAGGCCATACTTATGAAAGTGAGTGAACTTAGTGCATCAAACTCTGTTGGTTATAATGAATAACTCGCTTGCTGTTTGTTATGCCTTTGAGTGGAGTAAGACATATCCGGATTGTCCGATTGTCACCGGCCCAAGTCAGAACTTGAATCCCCTTTCATCACGAAAGGCCTCAAGGTCCGCAAGAACATCCTTCAGACTAGGCCGGTCGTAGTAGTTCTCCTTCCAATCACCTCTCTTCATACCTTCGATCCTTCGCCTGAGCCACGTCTCCGATGCATCGATTTCTCTCGACCACCACTCCTTGGCAGTCCGCTGCACCGCATCTGGGGTGGAGAGCCCTGTTTTCTCGAGGTCTCGGAGCACGAGCTGGTTCCTCTCCCTCACAATCAGCCTACTAAGGCCATTCTGCCTTCCGCGTGTGCAACGATCGATTAATTTCTGCATGGCTCCAGGAGTCTTGGTGTATCCTGGAAATTCGACAAGAGGTTCCCATCGATATGAAAGCCAGACTGCGGCTCTTTGGGGAGCGCTATTCCCTTCAAAGATGCACCACAATACACGACCAAGCATATACACCTCGCATGCCTCCTGCTCTTTTGGCGTGAGACATGCCCATGGGACATTATAGCCTTTGCATGGCCACTTGTACTCCTCGCTCTCACCCATCGCCTCCCAATCCGGAAGCATCTCTGTCAAGAGTTTCGAATACTTTTCGCTGACTTCTGCGGGTATTTCTTCATCGATAGCAAGAAGCCTTACGTACTCCAGAGCATTGACTTCAGGAGCGGCGAACTCACACCAGACCCCACGCTGCTCAAAATCAACCATAACAGCATCTCGACTAGCTGAAAGAACGATGTTGTCCAACCTGAGATCCGGATAGAAGATGCTGGATGTTGTACGAAGATGCACCAATGCCGACGCTAGTTGTATAGCCCATTTTGTCTCGTCGGCCAGGGACACCATGTTGTGAAGCTTGAGAAAGGGGATCAGATCACGTAGGCTACCGTGGATATGGTACTCGAGAGTGAATCCGACGACAGCTACTTTACTCCCAAAACTGCATTTCTTTGTAACAAGGTGCACAGGGCGAGAGACAATGTTGGGATGTGGTGGGATGATGAGCAGCTGCCTTAGCTCGTGATAAAGGTACTTGGTGTAACTGGTAAGTGCCTTGAAAATCCATATTTTGTCTCCGATTCTGACGAGGCAGACACTGTCGTGTAGCTGTGAGACGTATACCACGTCACCAAGATCGACAGTCGGCGGTAACTCAACGTCGCTTCCCCAAGCATTCTCAAGAGAAGCCACAGACAGAAGTTGACGTTCAAGGTAGTGAGTTGGAGCGATGGTGACCTCCGCATCAGCAACGTTCATGGGCATGTTCCTGAGCACAATCCTGGAACCAAAAGGTATGTTACTGAAGATTTTCAGAGGCTCCTGCTGCCGAGCTGTCCAGTGTTGCAGGATGCGGAGCACATGCTGAGTGATTCCGAGACGCGAAATGCGCATTGCACTCGTGGTGTGAAATGCCACATCAACATCGAGTGCAAGCCGAAGCTCTGTTGACAGCTTCGAGGGCTCAGGAATAAAAACATCCACTCGAATAGGAGACATCGAGTCGATGAACAGAGGAACAGCATAGAACTGGCTTCCGAAAGCAGTGCAGCCATCGATGCGCCAAAGAGGACGATCCAGTGGGCTGAGGCTGTCAATGCGGTTCTTTGGGTTCAGCGATGAGTTTTGCCAGTCAACAACATGGTCATCCCGAACTGCCGAGCCCAGCTGGGTGGTTGATGGAGGACCCGAGAAGGCTGCAGTAGGGTGGATAACATCGTGAATGGATTCCTGACTCAACTCCATGGCCTGGGCTGATGAATACTCTGGACACCGAAAACTACTAGAAGTCGGCTCAAGTCAGCAGCGCGCAGCGTTCCACGGCAAATCACCAAGTACCTGCACAAATGTCTTAGATGCTGCCCAACACAAACAGGCGGATGTAGGTGAGGGGCTCAAGTCTCGGATGCAAGGCGACCAGAGGCTGAATAGCATGCGAGGAGTTGTTGAATTGTCAGCAGCGTAGAGTGGCCGATATCAATCCAGGATGAGAAATGACTCGGTTCGACTCGAGAGCAAGATTTACTGGACAAGGCCGAACGTGCCACCGGTCAGCATCAAGCTTAGGGAAAAGAATATGCGTTGTCGTGCGACGGTACCAAAGATGGATGACACGGCCGAATTTGGGTCACTTTGGACGCGATTCATTTTGGTCATGCTGTCTGATCACATGATCGAAGGAAGCCTGTTGGTTCTTGTGAAACCGAGAGTGACTGACTGCTCACAACTTGTTCTTGCTGGGTGAGAAAGAGCGAACAAATATGGCAAGCGGTCGCCCGCGATGTAGATTGCCTCCAACCTCGAGACTTGAACGACAAGATCCAGTTTCCAACTAAGTTCCACGCTTGACGCAAGCACCCTAAGGCTCCACCTACGGAGAGGCATGTTGCCTGGCAAACGAATATTTTTCGTTCCCAGACACAAAATCATCCACGCTTTCCATTTCATGCGGAGGGATCAAGGCAGGTATCCGTTGCCTCCTGAAAACACGGGATCAGACCCGGTCACAATATCTGCTTGCGTAGGTAGGTAGTTGCTTTTATTCCAAAGGTTATTGTGGCACGTCCCGTAAGATTCAGGTTCGCAATACCCGTGAATGCAGCGAGACACACCAAGCTAACCGTGGTCATTTGTATTGGGCTTCGCGGGAGTACAGGCTCTGTGTTAGCTTAACGAGTCGTTGGTGGTTTGTTTGCGCCGCTAGTCGTGGTAAACAAACACGCAAGTTAATGAGAAGCCAGAATCGACATGACTCGCTAACGGTTTTATAAGTTGGATGCCGTCCACGAAAGCAAGGATTGACATATGAAATGAATGTTGATGGAATGCTCTTGAATACGCTAGACTTGACATGAAGAAACGGTCTTGTATGAGAGATTAGCTATAGAAACAGTGTACAAGGAGAGGAAAAGAATCAGGTATGGATGGCAACGAAGGATTGACAAAAGGCAGTCAGATTTTTGTGGTAGAGGGCATTATTGCAGCGACATCTTCAGGGAAGTTCGAATTGGGTGGCATGAGGAGTCTCTGGTGAGACAAGTCAAGGTCTTGGTCATGACTCTCAGACAGTGTTACATACGGGAGTTGGCATATTAAACAGTTCGAAAACTGAATGACCTGACCCAGGTTAAGAAATCGGGAGCTCTAAGCGAGATGGGCCAGGTATACTCCGTGAAGAAGCATCAGGCCACGACTGAGGTTAACCAATGTCAAGACGAGACAACCTCATCTAAGCGCTCAGTACGGAGTAGGGCTCGTCCAGGGCCGATCAATAGAACCATCTCCATCAGGAACAGCATACGACTTCCACAATAAGTACCGTGCCTGGCGTGGACAGATAAATGCCGGCATCTGCCCCCTCAAATATCAGCGTGGGGGAATACCGAGATTCTGGGAACAAGGGCTCCTGGCAAACCGGTGAGCAGTCACATTTCTCATTCCCGAAATACCGACCATTTGGGATCTTGCGTATAGGCAACGTCATCCGCGCTGACTGGCGTGCCTTGAAGCACGCTGCATTCCGATATTATTTGATTTCTGATAACAAGTGCCAGCCGACACCGAAGCGGGAGAGGCGCACCGGAGAACCATCATCACCCATGGATCACCCAATGAGGGCTTGAGCATAGCTTTCTTTCTTTCCTGGCCGGGGCGGGGAGGCTTGGACAGTGCGCAATGCCAGCATTGTAGCGTCCGTGGGCAGAGCTCGCGGCGCTCCCGAGTGGCTGCGCTGACTCGCTCTGTTGCTGCTGCGTTACCATACCGTGGGAGCTGGATAATGGACAATGTCCATTAATGCTGGCGGATATGAAGCAGGGGTGATTGCAGCGATAACTGACCGATGGCTGCTTACATGGCTGAAGAGAATACGGGCTTAGACGGATGGTGTCTTGTGACTGCAAGTAAAGCAAGGGATCCGACTCCATATGTATACCTAGCCTCCCTTCCTTACCTGCATCCTGTACGTCTAGGTAGTACAGAATCGCCAGGACGAGTTGTAGCTACAGGTAGGACTTTTGGGAGGAACCCATCCAGGAGAAGTTCCTGCGATTTCTATTTGGGGAACAGTTCGATCCGTCCCATCTATGACGCCCCATCTAGAACGCGGGAAGACCCGTTGGCGGATAAAGACTAACGACATTAGTCCTTCCATGTGGCATCCATGCTCTATTCTAGATCAACCAAAGAGTTCCTCATCGCCGCTTAGGTAGGGACAAGGTACTGGATCCGGTGAAGATTTGGATTCCTCGGTCTAGAGCTTAGAAGGCACTAACCTTGGATGTGAAACTCATGGGTGTTCAATTACTTCCCAGTGTGGGAATCCGGTGAACGGTAACGGACCTTTCTTCCGTCAGACCGTTGTGTGGTTTGTACTAATGCAAAGCAAAATTTCTAACGTCCATCACGATAACCAACTAAGGTAGGTGGGTAACTAACTACCTTACCTTACTTTACTAACTTGACTTGGACCTTCCTTCCCGTCCTCAAGGGAAAGCGCAAGCGCCACTTAAGGTACTTAACTTCCAATCACAGTATATTAGCAAGACACCTCTTGTGGTCCCAGAAAAAGCCTAGTGATTATTATTTCTGCAACCTGCATAGTTTGCCATCCCCTCCATCCGACGTCACAGGCTGGGTGATATCGCCAGGAACCCATTCTCGCGTCAAAAACCACTACAACTTGACGAGAGAAGAGACAACATCGTCAAGCCAAGAGACGCGGACGCGGTCACGCATGTCCCACTTGCATTTTAATGCAATATAACACACAAAGATGCAGCCGTATTCATGCAAAATCTGTGGCTGGGCCACGCCTTGCTGGCGGCTGCTCAGGGACATGAGTTGCATCGTGCCGTTCTTTAGTGCGCCTGGCTCGAACCTCAGCTACCAGGTTCTTGTCGTAAGAAGCTCGCAATGATAACACACACAACCGGATATCGATCGGACCGATCTTTTAGTTCTAAACTCAGCCAAGAGTGAAAGTAATTGCTGTTCTCACCGGTTGCTGCCCCTGCCTCCTCCTCGTACCAACCAGAGTCTTTGCGTGACGATAGCACACATTCGTCTTATCACATGGACAAAGTGCAGGCTTCTGGCAAAGGGTCAGATATTGGCAGATAGCACCACTGGTCTCAACATGCTGTGAGATGTCGGCTGTTATTCACTCGTCAGCCTTGGTCAAGATAGCATGGGGTGAAAGTGAAGCTGAAAGGGCTTGAAACAACGCTCGGGCATTTGCTCGTTTACGATACACCACTGCATCCGAGTGCATCTGGCAAACGGAATATCCTCCTGGTTAGAAACTCGACTGCTCATCTAGTACTTGTCGAGGCATCTTTGCCTTTTCTCGGACTTGTATTCGTTAGTCTCGAGAATGCCCCCCCCGCCCCCCAACGCCGGACCTACATCGACGATTGGATGAAAACGATCTTTCTTCTGAACTGCTTGGCGATCCAAGTACCTTTGGGAACCTTTGCTACGTTGCGGAGTTGACGATGTACAGTACTTTTCCTCTTCCTGATGTGAGATACCCGGGCTAGGGGGTGAAATAAAACGTCTGACATGAAGATCCGATTTTGTATGGTAAATGTGGATTCCAGCGTCAGACGTCTTATTTCACCCCGAGGCCGGGCGGGTTGGCGTTGCGAGATCCTGTGAGTGAAAAAAAGCAATTTGAAAATGGTACATCATCCAACCCCAGCTGTGCAACTGTGCAGCCATGACCAACATTGGTCAGCCCCATGTCAGTCACATGGCCATTTCAATGCACGAATTAACCATTGGCATGACTAGGCTCCGTGGCTATGGAACAATGACCCGATCCGAAGATTCGATTGATTGCCAAAAGATTGAGCTGCATTGTTGTTTAGGACTACGCTCGATTCAAATCACCCTCAGTTTTCAGTAGCCAAGTTCCTAAGCCACGAACGAAGCTTTTATACTGTTTCTTTTTTGCTAATCGCCCCACCAAATGACTTCTAATAGCATGTTCCAATCCCTAACATAAGATCGAGAACTTCAGGTGCACTGAACCGGCAGAGCGGGTAATATCCCAAAATCCTTTGCCTGACAAGCCTGAGCACTACAATCAGAAGGCCCCCTGCCACTCCCATGGTACCCCTCAGACCGGTCAAAAACTACTCAGCACGAGGCCATGTCAACGCCGTCCTCACCGAGTCCACTTTCCTCTCTCACAGACTCGTTCATCATCACCGTTCCCAGTAGACAGTCAAGCCGTTGCTTGAAGCGCTCAACGCCCAGTCACTACAACCACCACACCGCCAGCCGCATACTTGCTCAGCCCGCAGCCCGCATCAGCCGTCATCCATACGATCGCGGCCGCAAGCATATTGCGCTGATTTCGCTCAACCGTGCAAACACCAGTGCCAGCACCACCGGCTACTCACTCCACGTTCTGTCGCCAGTACCACGACAGCTCAGCCCGCCTTGTTGCTAAAGCAGTGGACGGGGTGGACAAGGCTCCACGTCCTGTCCTAATCGTACTCAGGCTCGAGGTTCTCAGGTTGGCGGCTACGATCAGCACACCAACATCTCATCGACCTTCCTATCTGCTGGCAAGGAGCCTCAACGACCTGATTGGGTTTGCGCTAACATACCTACTTATCGCCTTTCCGCCTAGCTTCCCCGGATTCTTCGCCTCTCTCATCACAGTATTTTCTATTCCCGACCGTCTGGTATCCTTCTCTTGGCCGTCGTTTTGACTTCGGCCATCGCTGGTACTCCAC